TGGCATCTTCCCTATGTAGAAGTTTCCGGCATTGAGCTTTCTTGTGCCCAGGTTTGTTACAGTATCAGCAAAGTCCCTAAAACCTCTCTGAAAGCTGACCTTTTCTGGCCTTGAATCCTAATGGCTGTACCAACCTTGGTACCTCTGTGCTGGACTTAACATAGGATTCGAATTCAAGAGCTCTGGCCATTGCATCCTGCATTGTACAGGAGTGTGCTTGCTTTACTTGTATCTTCAGTTGTGGACTGTCCAAGGCATCTATGAACTGATCCCTCAGCAACAACTTGAGAACATCGGGTGGTGCAGTTGGGTAGGCCTTGTGTGCCATACTTTCCAAATCCTGTGCCAGCTCTTGCAGGCTCTCCCCTTTAACACGGACTCTCATCTTAAACCTAGCCCTGTAGACTTCGGACTAATTTTGGGTTCCATACCTGAGTTCTAGAGCAGCTACCAGTGCTTTATAGTTGTGTCTGTCGTCTGCTGACAACTGTCCAAGTATTCCCAGTGGTTGTCCCTTCAAGCTCGTTGCCAGGTACACTGCTTTCTGCTCCTCTGTCCATACATTCATTTCTGCTAGGAGCTCAAATTGTGCTCTATATGCTTCCCACGGTGCCTTCCCATCGAATTCCTGTGGCTTCCTTCGTACTAGATCACCCCTATTGCTGACACTCATGCCTGGGATGTGACTTCTGACAGGACTGAAGATGTCTGCATTAGGGTTTAGCTGTGGGGTCTTGAAGGAGCTTCACGTTGTCTGGGGCTGATTAGGTCGATGGCTAATATACCCTACTTGCGTAAAAGACAGTAAATCATCCTTTAATATATTTAAGTAACTTTGAAATTTATTAATCTTTTCCATTTGTGTGTGCTAGGTTTCTTTCAACTGTTGGAGACTTTCTTCTTGTTCAGTTTCTTTCTCCTCCAACCACTGCTGTAGTCTCTCTTGTTTACTTTGCTGTTCGAGCTGCCACTGTTGCAGTTTTTTTTGCTACTGCTGTTGTCTCTCTTCTTGTTTCTTTTCTTTTTCCTCCAACAACTGCTGCAATCTCTCTTCTTGTTTCTTTTCTCGTTCTTCTTGTTTCTTTTCTTTTTCCTCCAACAACTGCTTTAATCTCTCTTCTTGTTTCTTTTCTTTTCCCTCCAACAACTGCTGTAATCTCTCTTCTTGTTTCTTTTCTATTTCCTCCAACAACTGCTGTAATTTCTCTTCTTGTTTCTTTTGCTGTTCTTTTATTGCTGCCATCACATCTGCTAAGCTGTAGTTTGATTTGCCACCTCTTGTTCCCATCTTCTTTTTTTTTTCATTCCACTTCTGACACCAATTTCTTACATCTCTGGTCGTTTGTTAATTTCCGATATAAATTCTTCCCGGGGAACTTCAGCGATACAAGTCCTTTCTTAAATTAAACTAGTTTATTCTTTCTCAATACAATTTTGCAATACACAGAATTTCCACGGTCACTTTAACTTCAACATACGCTATAATTCACAACGGTTCACGCACTTTACTTACGGTCACTACCGCTCACTTGATTCAGTTATCTGTCTCTATATCTGTCCATCTGCCAATTATTTGCCGGGCTTATATACTAAAATAGAGGGAGTCTGGTAAACACTCGGGCCTTCATGATCCTTCTAGAAACTCATCACATGCACCCAGCGTCACGTGACTGCCGCTGTCGTAACACAATAATAAATGAAAATATATGGAAACAAATCAGGAGAAATGACACAACACTTCAATTAAAAACATGGAGTAAAGATAACACGTGTCTTCGGCCCGGCATGGCCAGGTGGATAAGGCGCTCGACTCGCAATCTGAGGGTCGCGGGTTCGAATCCCCGTCCCACCAAACATGCTCGCCCTTTCAGCCGTGGACGTTATAATGTGACAGTCAATCACACTATTCGTTGGTAAAAGAGTAGCCTAAGAGTTGGCGGTGGGTGGTGATGACTAGCTGCCTTCCCTCTAGTCTTACACTGCTAAATTAGGGACGGCTAGCGCAAATAGCCCTCGTGTAGCTTTGCGTGAAATTCAAAACAAACAAACACGTGTCTTGCAGATGAAACGACGAACTGTCAACCACTAGGATTCTTTGAAGCAAACTATTAGTAACAAATAGCATTGTGAACCAGTGTTTTGTTGTCGTTAAGGGTTTGGTCGTATCTTGTCTCATTGGATTATACTTTATTCAACAAAATGAAGTTACCCTGAACTTCTTCGCAAAAATGTTCTTGACGTAAATATGCCATATGTTAGGCGTTACTCCAAGACGTTTATTAATTGTTTTTTTGTTTTTTTATAAGTGATAAACTTGTTATTGTTTGAAAGTTTTATTTTGGATATATCTTATATTTTAATAGAAATCAACAGGGTTTTTATTCATTTCTATCAAGACTTTTTGAACCTACGTGTTTTTTCTAGCATCATATTATATTTTAATAAATTGTTTGTAATTAAGGACAAAGCTACACAATGGGCTATCTGTGCTCTGCCCACCACGGGTATCGAAACCCGGATTCTAGCGTTGTAAGTCCGCAGACATACCGCTGTGCCACTGGGGGGCTTTACTCTGGTTATAGCGGCGTTTTGTTACAGTCCGTTACAAGTTTTTCAAAGTGAATGTTGCCATACTAAAGCACGAACGTAACATTAACAAAGAGAAATCTGGAAAGTCTTATAAATAAAATCAAACAATTATATAATAAACAAATACCTAGGCACGACATCAAATATATTTGATCGTTATTTCACCAGGCATTTCTAATCTTTGGCACATCTTCCACGTATTCAAATTCATTTAATTTTTTGTTTTTCTTTCATCTATAAATAAATAATCTGTCAATTCACACGTATTGATACGCACACTGTTGATTCTCTAATTTGAAAATAATTGTTAAATGTTGACTTAGAATAAAAATCCTTCTTTGCCATTAAAACTTGTGTACTTGAGAATGATCGCACCACAAATCGAAACGTCATACCTGTTTAAAAAATAACTCTTCCTTGCTATAGAACCTGTAACCTAAAAAAATATTATCTAGGTTGTAAAGCTGTAGAACCGCATTATACATATTTTCACTGTATATTGTTTCAATATATTTCAGAATTATGTAACTGTAAATTTATTTCTTAAATTCAAAAATGATTAAACAATCAAAGAATTTTGTGATATTCTTCGTATTTTTGAGAAAAATATTGGTGAAAATGTATTTATTTATTTTTCTGTTATATACGTTTATCTTAGGAAGTAAGTATAAATATTTTTCTATTTAATAATATATTACATTTCTGTTATATATTTTGAGGCTTCCTGATTCAAGAGTAGCTTGGGTTTTTCTATTTCAATAAACCGCTAGGAAATACTATACAGAAGTACTTGTATCTGCAGTTATAACTTACAATTTACAATCTGTAGTACTTATACTATAGAACGTTTAGATGTTGCCAGCATTGCAATACAAAACTCTTCCTAAAAACCAAATAGAATCAAATGTACCTGGATTTCTCATTAAACTTTGGAAACTAGTTGATGATCCTAGCTGCGATGACTTAATTACCTGGAGTGAGGTAAGCCTAAAGTGTTATTTTGCAAAATCACGAACTAGGCTTAGTAGTACTAGTAGTCCTACTCTAGTGATCCTACTCCTAGTACTAGTATTTTAAAAGTTACGGTTTAATGAAAAATATGCAAATTGCAAATGTTTTCATAACAATAGTAGGAACACTAATAGTAATATAGTAATATTACTTGTTTACGGCGCCATAATATTTATACTACTACCAGTACTAGCTAATTGTGGCTAACTTCCTGTTTCAAGTGTTTGCACCAAGATCGTGCTTGTAAGTTGTACTGTATTAAACTAAAGTCTGTTGTACAACTAAAAGTTATACAAAGAATTGTAACAGTAAAGTAATCATCTTTATCCAGTTTCAACGTAATTAGATGATATATGTAAAGACTTAATTATTATCAAAAATTAAAAATCTTTCAACTAATTGAACTATTCTTCTCCCAAGGGTACGTATGCCCCCCTCTCCTTTTTGTTTTGTAAATTAGAGCACTTCTATGCAAGGTTGGAAGGTTGAACCACCATGAAGATTAGGTTATTAAACTACAAACATCCAAAAGTTTATCACTTTAAAGTTTCATATCAGTAATGAAATATTAGAATATGTCTGTTTTTATTATGCATCTTGCATCTACATCAGTATCTAGCACAGTAAAACTTGGAAAAGTTTATTCATCAATCTTTTAGTTAAAGACTTAATACAAAGAGTTGATGCTGGGAATTGAAGGCTAAAGCTCAAGAACATTTTGTTTATAATATGTATAAATAAAAGTACCATATTTATTTTTTTGTGGAAATAAAAATCCTTTTTTCTATTATCTTGCAACATGATATTAGTCATTAAAAACTTATAGGCCTTTTAAATAAAGGTTAAACTTAAGAGTGTAGTGTATAAAGTTGTAGCTGGCAAGACTTTTTTCCTCTAAGGTTAGATTAAATAACATAGTAAAATGTTATTTTAAACATACATTATAATATCACACAAATTATCATTTAATACATCGTGCTGTGCAAGCCTAGGCATATATACACCATGAGACTTGATAAAACTAACCCACTATAGTTTCTAGTAACTACCATATCTGTTTTGGTTTGACTTATTTATCACTTTCTTTATCAATACTGATTTATAAATCATAACAAAGAATGGCTTGTTCATCCATGTTACAAAAAGCCATCTCTGGTATCCAAACAACAAGTCAAAACTCAGTTTTAGAATATGTAGCTTCCATCTGGAGTTAATATTGTGAAATGTATATGAAATGTGTCATTTGATAACTAGGAGTTACTGAACATGTTTTTTCTTATACTGTTTTTTGACTATTTAACATCAGAAATATTTTTTTTTCCTAACAAAGCATGTGTCACATGTTAATAGCAGTATCTTATAAATTTAGGTCTCTGATTGGTTGGGATAAAGATGGCCAGTCCCAGTATTGATATTAATTCATTGACCCTGTCCCAGTCTGGAAAGGATTAAGACACTATTACTTGATTATTGCATTTCACATACCCAGAATAAGGTTGTTGTTGTTTTTTTAAATCCAGGAGACATGCGTCCACAGAATGTTGTATCCATAACTAATCAGTACTGAACTTAAAGCACCAGTAACACCATAAAAACTACAATTTGCTTTACATTTTACTGTGACATAGTTTTACACCTGTAAGTCATGGTAAGAGTTTGTTACAGCTTACATCACTATTATATATTAGATTGTCTTAAAATAAGATATTGTATGATCCTATTATATTTATATCACATTTGCTTTCATAAAAATTTCATGAAATTTTAAAGGGACAAAAAGGAGCTTATTGGCCCATGAAGGTGTCCCTTTCAGCTTCCAACTATAACCACCCCATACTATTCATGTATTCATCCAATCTTTTCTTGAACTCTTAGATTTTCTGCTTCCACCACCCTTGAAGGCAGCTCTTTCCAAAAGCCAACCACCCTGTTTGAAAAGTAATAAACTGCAGGTGACTCTTATGCTCCCAAAATTTGAATTTATGTCCCCTTGTTCTGTTATTTTCACTGTTCAACACAAAGTTTGATGGATCTGTATTATCAGTACCTTTAATAATCTTAAACACTTCAGTCAAATCCCCTCTGACTCTTCTCATCAGAGAAAATGTTTACAGCTTTTAGTCTCTCCTCATAGGACAATCCCACCATCCCAAGTATCATCCTAGTGGCTCTTCTCTGAACCTTCTCCAACAATTCAATGTTCTTCTTGAAGGAGGGAGCCCAAAACTGTACACAGTACTCTAAATGAGGCCTTACAAGTGATGGAGTCCAAGTTTGGGGGTCAGAAGTGTTTTTTTTTGTCTAGGACTGAGCCATTGTTTTTGGCATTTAATAATTGCATAAAGCATCCATTTTTCATCACCAGTGACAATTCTGTCCAAAAATGGTTCACGTGCCAGAAGATATGAAGCAACGTTCACATGTTGGACACAATGATCATCAGAGTGAGGCACCGAAACACCTTTAAGGAGTTTCTCTGTTTATGTATTGTTTCATGC